GGGGTGGAGGGGGGAGGGGATGGTGTGGGTGGGGATGCCCAGGGGCTGGGCATGGGGGCCTCCTGCTCTCAGCCAGAAAACCGAGGGGTAGGGGCGAGGGTAGTCCTGGGAGCTCAGCTGGACAAGAGAGGGCTATTCTCTTCCCACTCCTACCGGTGCCCAGCAAGGCTTCATTTGGTCTGTCTGTGTCTGAATGTCTCTCTCTCTCTCTGGGTCTGGGTGTCTCCCTGTCTCCCCCCAAGGCTGTGCCTCGGTGCTTGGCACACCCTGGCTGCGGTGCTGCCCCCGCCTGTCTCCTGCCCGCCTGGCACACTGCCACCACTTGTTTACAGAAGCTGGAAAAATCCACTCGCCAGCCGGAGGCCCAAGAGCCCCCGGGGAGGGGAGGAGGCAGGCACAGGAGTGGGCATGCTGAGAGAGGGGCAGCCCTGGGGAGCAAGCCCTAGGGGCAGGCGGAGAGGGCCAGTGTGTGCAGGAATGGGCACTGGCTGTGGGCTGGGCAGGGAGCACCAGCAGCAGCCACATGGCCTGGGCAGCTCCTGCCCCACGCCATGGTGCTGGAGGGGCCCCTCCCCCCACACCCCACCACTACCAGTTGCTACAGGGCAGACCTGGGGCAGTGCCAACCTAAGCCACCATGTTTATTTCTCCCTCCCCTTCCCCAGCCCAGTCTTAACTCCAAATGTGTCTGGGCACCACCAAGGGCTTGCACGTGCCTGCTGGGGGAGGGGCAGCCTCCCTCTCTGCCCCACCTCTACGTTGAGCTGAATGGTGCCCTGGTGCCAGTCTGTGCAGCTCCAGCTGCCGGCAGTTCCCAGCAGCGGGCACAGGAACAAGGTGCTGCCCTCACTGCCATAGGCACCCTTGCCTGACACCTAACAAGAGGCTGGAGCTCCTGGGGACTCCTTGCCATCTCTCCAGGGACATACCTGGGCCTCTAAGGTGATAGCCAAGGCAGAGGCCCAGCATGCGGGGAGGCACAACCACGTGAGCCCATGTTAGCTGCGGGCAGGTCGGCGGGGAAGGGGAACAGGGCAGGGATACCCACCCGGAAGGGCAGCCTCTCTCCCCTCCGCCAGGAGTCCAGGCTCCTTCCTGGCACATCCCTTGCAGAGGTGGAGGCCCAGCCCCAAGGAGGGAGAGGGGGCGGAGCAGTGGGCTCTGAGACAGGCTGGACAGCAGGGCCCACCTCTCGGCTGGCCTGGCCACCCACTCCTTCTTTGTCAGATAAGAGCTGCCGGGTGGCAGCATGGGCAAGGTGCCCACAGAGGGGGAAGCATTTCATTAAGTTTAAGTGCTTCTGCAATGGGGGGGACAGGGACGAGAGGGCAATGCGGCATCCGTGGGCACCATGCCAGGTTCTTGCTGCCAGAGTATCCCACACTGCAATCCTGTGGCTCTGAGGGACACCCCCAAAGGACTCTTGGGGCTACCAGAGGGGACTTTCTGCCCCCAGGACCTGGCCCCAAATACTACACTCTCCACTCTCAGGAGTATCTGCTGTTGGCTTTGGCCCCACCTTGTTGGGGCCCCTGAACTTTGTCCTTAGTGCTCTGAGAAAGTCCTGCCCTCCTTCTTGCCAACCACAGAGAGATGTATACACGGAGGGGCTGAGAAAAGGGGAGAAAGAAGAGGAGGAGGAAGAGGGAAAATGGGGTGGAGGGGGAATAGGAAAAGAGCAGGGGGGTAGAACAAAGGCAGGGCAGGGCAGGGACGGGGCAGAGCTAGGGATGATAGGGAAGTGGAGAAAGGAAGGAAGGGGGGCAGAGATGGGGGATGGGAGAAGGGGTGAGGTAGAAAGGAGAGCAGAAAAGGGGAGGAGAGACCAATGAAGGAGGGGGAGACAAAGAGAGAAAGGTAACAAAGAAAGATGGGTGGGGGTGCTTCATGCCCCGCCTAAGTCCCACCCCACGGAGGCTGGGGGAGGGGAACTAGGAATGGTTTCCACGGTGACAGCTGGTTCTTGGTGGCCTGGCATGTGGGCTATTAATAGTGCTGTGGGTAGGTTCACACCTCCCTCTCCCCTTCCCCTCTGCCTGCTGCTAGGGTAGGGGGAGATCTCTCCCCCACCACTCACTCCCCATCACCCGGCATGGATGCCCTGACCCCACACCACGGGAGTCAAGAGGGTGACCTGAAGGGCCCAGGGCAGTCACCATCACCCAAACACATATACGGGCATGCACGGCCCCTATGGCAAGGTGGACTCCCCTGGGCGGCCACAAACACCCTCAGCCAGGAGTCTGTGGCCATCGTGGAGCGATGTGGTGACACAGGCTCACATGTTGAGGTGCAGATGCCACTCCAGGGCTGGGAGCTCTCTCTG